AAAGGAAATAAAAAAAAATAGAAGACAAATTGAATAACAATACTGTTTTCAATTAAGGAGAAGTTAATAATGTGTTATTGATAGAATCATTACCATCATTTGTTACCGAAAATATGTTATCAGAGTTATTTAGACAATATCCTGGTTATTCATTAATTAAGTTAATAAATGCAAGAGGATTAGCCTTTGTTGAATATTAAAATGATGATCAAGCTACTGTAGCATTAAAAGGACTTAGCAATTTTAAAATTACTCCTGAATGCCAACTTAAAGTTAAATATGCAAAAAAATGAGAAGTAAATTAAAAAATCGTATATTTCTTAATATATATTTATAATATCAAACAACGAATACTCCATATTTCATTTTATTTAATTATTAAGCTTTTTCTAGGTTCTATTAGGCAATTAATTCGATTTCATTTTTTGTAAATTTTTTATCCATATATGGTTAAATATCTGTAGTTTTAAATAATAAGCAGGTCCTTAGTTCTAATTCAATTTCACTCTACAAATTAATTTAATAACTTTACAGTTTATTCTAAGAGTCCTTTTTACATTAACTTCCAATTTCCAACTCCAACTTTTTCTAATTACTCTATTAAGAATTTTATTTTCTCCTCTGCCCAATATTAGCCTTTTTTGACTAAGAAATATTAGTGATTAACAGTTCCATCAGGTTTACATATATGATTGTCTGATAAAGCTAATCTCATTTTCTTAGCATATTCCTCTCTACTTATTGTACTCATTAGAAATTGGCGGTATTTAATAATAAATAATGAAATATTAATCAAAAACATAAAAACATAAGCATTAGCTAATTTAAATAAATAATATTAATGACAATAAATAATGATTTCATAAAACTATTAATAGCTAAAAAATTATATATATACTGGCAAAATTATTTTATAATAATAATCACAATCCTTTTTTTATTATCTCATAAAACTCATTTATATCTTTGAATTTAATCTCAATTTAAATTAACTTATTTCTTCCCTTACTTTCTTTTTATACTAATATAGATGTTTTCTTAATTCCTATAGTTGAATCAATGAAATCACATAATTCAGCATTAGCTTCTCCATCTTTTAGGAGGTACTGCAATATTAATATCAACAGTATCATCAGAAATGCCTGTAATTTAACTTATTTTAGAATTAGATTTTAAATTGATGATGATGAGAAAATATACGCTTGATTTAAAATAAATTGATTTAGGTATGACTATTTATTAATTCATTAATTATATATAAATTATATAAATATTCATTCTTCAATACCAAATGCAATTTAAAGTTTGTCAACCAAAGGAGTTCCTCCAATTTCAATTGCTGCATTAAATATATCTCCAATTTTTATTTTACAAAGCTCTAATTCTTATAACAATTTTATGCATTTTCTCTCTAATTCATCATTTGCTGACAGTACTCTTTCTAATTCAGTTTGATAATCTTTGGATACTTTAATTTTTTCATTTGTTAAATGATAAATATATTCTTCAAGTTCTCTAATTCTTCCAATTTCATTTTATTAAATATTTCTTTAATTAACTAAAGCATCATCTTTTTTATTTAAGTCTTCAAATTATTAATGAATTAAAGACTCTCTTTTACTTGCATATGTACTTGTTCTTATTTATATAATACTATTTCTTTATATTCCTTATTCTAATTTAAGTATTTATAATTCTGCTATTTATTATTATAATTCTTCTATATATTGTTAATTTTATTTTAATTATTCTTAACAATTACATTACTATTATTTTTCTTATGTTATTTTTTATGGAGTTCCTATTCCTTATTGAAATTTTGATAATTAATCTTTGAGTATCTTTATTTATTCTTAGAGTTCTAATCTCCACTTTTTCTCTTTTTCATAAGATTGTTTGGTTTGTTAATTTTATATTTTATATTAATCGAGTGTTTAAGTAATAGTTTCTTCCATTTGAATATTATATTATTCAAGTTCTGCAATTAATTCTTAACCCTTCAAAATCTCTTAATTCTTTTCTTTGATTGATTTTTACTATTCTGCCATTTTAGCCTATAATAATACCTTCTCTTATAAGGCCTCAGCCAATTATTATTTACATTTCATCATGTTTTACCTAACGTTATTGAGTTATGATTTAGTCTCTTCAAGTTATTTTGAAATATCTAACTCTGTTTGCTTTTACTATTCAGATTATTCACGTAAACATTGTAATTCGTCTGTCTATCTATTGAAATGTATTATATTTTTATACTGTTAAAGTGCATAATTTAATCTCTAAATTTCTTCACTATGAGCATGCATCTACTATTGGAATTAGGAATCAGAACACTCCATACTTATTATTATATTACTTATTAACTTTATTCCATTTTTAATTTATATTAACACATTTCCAACTCTTATTACAACTATTGAACTTTCTACTCTAAGGATGCTTATTACTATTGATAGCCTTAAAGCTTGCCCTATATTGCTCTTTTCAATGATAGTAACTAATCTGGAAGTTCTTTTTGATCGTCTATGAAAGATGGTACATCGGCAATTTGTCTTTACATCTGTTAGACTTCATTATTGTAATCGCTAAGTACTTTTAGGTTGCTTTCCCATTTGGATTGCCATTATTGGACTTGACTTCTTAGCCTAGCCATTTGTTGTTCTACTTTGGATTTATCTTACTGATTTGTTGATACTTCAATTTATTTCTCTAATTAATACGCTTAATTTTTAGAATCCTAACTTGTTTTACTAGTATCAAGTTCCTTTCTCATTGATTCTTCCAATTTATGTTATAAATTCTATACAATTTCTTCTTTCTTTGCCAATTCTTATTCATATTTCTATTATAAAGTTTCAATATCATGTTTCTTAATACTCAAAGCAGACTATAATTCTTCAACTAAGATACTAGAATCATTGCTTTTAATTGCTTACTAATTCTATATTGTAAAAATACTTCTTGATTTTTTAATTTTTCAATTATATCTTTTTATTCATTCAATCTTTTTTCTAAAGATTCATTTCTCTATTATAAAGCCATAATTGTTCCAGAAGTTAAATTTTTTAAATTTTAAATTTATTCATTTTTTTCTTTAATTTATTTTTTTAAACCTTCAATTTCTTCATTTAATTAATCAATTTAATCATTTTCATTTGAATTAAAAGATTCTTTTCTATTATTATTTTATAATTCTTAGATAATAATATTCAAATTATTTATTTCTTATTTAAGTTCTTTGACTTAATTTTCTAAATTAATATTTTTCTCATTTAAAATATTTATTTGAGTTTTTTAATTCTCTTAATTCTCTTAATTATCAAATTCATATTCACTTAATTATGATTTTAATTAAGCTATTTCATTAGTTTGTTATTCAATAATAAAAGATTTAGCTTTTAATTAAGCATTAATCATTGTGTTTTCATTTATAATTGTTTTTAGTTTTGTATTTTATTCTTATAATTGTTATTCATAATTTAATATGATTTCTTAATGATGTTCTTTATCAATAGTGTCATTTAATTTCAATTTAAGTTTTTATATTTAATGATTTAGATCAGAATCTTAATTCTTTTTATCTAATATAATTTATCTTACTATACCACTATTATCATTCTTTGATTCTTATATTATCTTTTTTGGTGTTTAAATTGAAACCTAAGAAGTATCAAGAGATTGATCTATAGTTTCCAATCTATATTATATTATTAATATTACTCTTAATCTATTTCTCCTATCTATTTAATTTTAAAGTTAACTACAACTTTAGCATTTTTATCTGGACATTTTTCTAATTGCATAACTTCTTAAAATTCTAATAATTTTAAGTGTATATTCATATACCAAACTATTATTGATTGAGATATTGCGATAAATTTAAATTATGCATTCCAGCATTCTTTTATCCTTTATCTGTGACTAAAATCACAATTATTTATGTTTTTTTCTCTTCAAATTTTCCATCTGCACCCAAATTGACTGAAATAGTACAATTTAATGTCTCATTTATTATAGCAATTCCTTTCTATAATTCATAAGTAGGTTGGGTTTCTAATTTTTATGATCCTTTTTGAATTAATTAAGAATGAAATGATATACCTCTTTTTAGAATGACCTATATTTTACAATTAAATTGAACACTTATCTAAACATTTATGATTGTAGCTTCAACTAAAAACTTGAATCCTCGAATATTCATTATTAAATAATTTTAAAATTTCTATGTCCTTGATTTATGCCGTCATTGTAAGAGGAAACAATATTACACTTGTTGATTATGAATCCGTAACAAGTAATTTCCCTTCTTTAGCAAAAAAACTATTTGACAAACTAAAAAAGAACACTCGTTAAACATGTGTTTATGAATAAAAGTAATGAGTAAATTTAGATTGAATACTAGTTATCATTTCCATTACATAAATGAGGATGATTTCACTTACTTATGTTTAGCAGATGCATTATTGTCAAAAGCAACAGCATTTGCATTTTTAGAAGAAATCAAAGAATTATTTTGTGAGAAATTTAGTGAAAATATTAGAAGATAAGCAATTAATTATGGAATGTAAAACTAATTTGTAGAGTATTTAAAAGCTAAAATGGTAATAATATTATTTTGCATTATTTAAGAATTATTATAACAATGATCCAGAGAATGAAAAAATTGTTAGATTATAAAAATAATTGACAGATGTTGCTAATTAAATGTCTCTAACATTAGGTAATATATATATAATAATATTAATATTATAGATTAAATATTAGATAGAGAAGATTAAATTTAGATTTTAGTACATACTACTTAAACTATGACTACTTTTGCAGGTGCAATGAAAACAACTGTAAATCAATCTTATTATCTATTTAGGCAACATAAGTCAGAAAAGATCAAGAAAGTAGAGCTTTAAGAACAAAACTATTTATTGCTGCAGTTATTGTTGCTATGTTTTTGGTCATTTATTTGCTCTATTGAAATTTATATATCATAATATATATAATTATCAATATTTTAAGTTACCTATGTAGTCCTATTCCAAAAAAGCATGTCCATTCACCCAAGAATGAAATTAATTAAATAATTTTGTACAATCTTTTCCTGCTCCTAACATTAACTTTTCTACTCCACCAGGATGATAATCTAAGTAAAGAGAAATGTCATAAACTTTGCCATTCAAAACAGTCCATACATCTCCTGGTTTATTATGTTTCGAGACTTCTTCAGCAGTATAATTTTTAAAAGCAGGTTTATTTTTTCTTGGCTATTATACAAATTGCATTTATCCACCTTTTACTTAAACCTTCTCTCTTTTAGAAACTTCTTCTTATGGTAAAAGAGGTGCTATAAATCTACTTTCAGCAAAATTAGGTTTGCTTTATAAGAAAGCACCTGTACTCTGATTGAAGGATCCTAACATTTTATTTATTTATTCATATGTAACTTCAGTTGATTCTGTTTTACGTCCATTTCTATATTTTTCTTTCAAAATCTTTCCTTCTTTAGGTTCATATGTATATCTGACCTCTTTTTATTATTTTATTTCCATAGAATTCTTTACTCCTGGCAAGAATAAAAACACATAACGATTTTCTATACATTCTTCTATTGTTAGTTTCTGTAATTTTTATGATTGTAATAAGATTTTATCTGTCATTGAGAACTTTTTATAGTCCATTATAATGTAATTTAGGATTATAATTAACTCTTCTTTAGTGGCATTAAGATGAAAAATCTCATCTATTCTATCATCTGTGACTATAGATGTTATTTTGTCTTCCATTTCTTAAAGAAACTTTAATAAATTTATTTATTTTAGTTTGTGACAAATTATTGCTTATTATTTGAAATTATAAATGATTCTTTACACAAACAATGCATATTTACATTTTTATATATAATATCAATTTTCATCCATAATATCATAATATTTCATAGCTATCTAATCAAAGGCATTTCTAGGTATTATCCATGTTATTGTGAAACCCAAAGCGAATCCACTAAAGAAATTAAATTTGTTTGCCCATTTTTATAACATCAAATAATAAATAATGTTTTTTTTATAAATTTCCTACTAATATATCATTATAATTCTGTAGGTGTTTCATTTGCTTCTGCCTTCTTTTCATCAGGTATATTATCTAATGGCTTAGCTATTTCATTATTGATATTATTTTCCTCTCTTTTTTATTTTCTTTTAAATAACTTTTTAAATAAAGCAATCACTTTTTTTAATATTTTAGGATGTTTTTTGTGAAATAAAAATACTCTTCTACTAATATACAAACCACTAAGAAATGATAATGTACACCAAAATTTAAATGCCACTCCATTCTCTTATAACTTCTTTTCCAATTAATAAATGAAATTACTCTTAGATAAAGTTAATGCCAAAGGATTTTCAATTGTTATTTTCTTTGTTTCAGTATTATATACTGCTTATCCTAATACTGACAAAAATCCATCTGTTTTTATACCAAATTCATTATCTCTATATCCTATATGTACTCCTCTAAATGAGCCATCTCTAAAAAGCACTTAAATAAGGGCTGCAGGTCCCAAGATTCTGAATAAAGATGAATAGAAAATTGTTGCATAATTTCCAATATGTTCTGCAAATGATAGAGAACGTTTTTCATCCTTAAAACCAAAACTCATTAAAGCTGTAGTAATATCAGTTTCATCATTTATAGATACTAAAGCTTCTGTCTGATTTTATTTGTCCTTTAAACCAAAATATAATGGCTTATCTATTTAATAATCAGATGAAGAGCTCGCCCTATTTTTAAATTTTTATTTACTCTTTCCAATCAAATTTTATTCTTGGCTCCAAGAATGAATCACATGAAAAAAGTGATGTTCTTTATTTAATACGCAATATTACAGGAATTTTTTTAAATGTTGAATATAGAGATCCTTTTTGTGGAATCCCTTCAATAAAATAGATATTTGATTTCTATTGATTTTAAACCTCCTTTGCTACTTCTGAGACATTTTTTATTGGATATTATTTCATTTTTTTAATTTGATTCTTTGTCTTACGATTATTGTTAAAGTAATGACCAAATTTAAACATTGAATACATGAATACAAATCCTACCACTCCTGTCTTAAAATATTATTTATCCTCGTTAGTTGCCATTTGTTTTATTGTATAAAAATGTTAAATGAATTATTTAATTAAGTTATTTCTGATAATTGATATCACAAATAATAAAGTTTAATATATATATAAATAAAACAATTATTTTTAATTTATCATAATTTTATAAAGTCTAGGTTATTTTAACTCTCTTATTTTAATTTTCATAAATATAAGTTGTAGACAATCATAAAAGATATATATAAACATTACCTTAATCTAAACATAATATATATTATTAATAAATAATATTAAATGGAACAATATAAAAAGTCTATATTAAATAAATAATTACATTTTATTTAATATTAGATATGTATCAATATTAGATTTAACAGTCTCTTTTTGCAAATAAAAACTAATATTATTATAAAAAAGTTAATATATATTCATTTTTTAAATACATTAATGAAATTTTTAATTTAAGAATAAGATAAAATTTTATAGTGTACATATGGGTTTTTTTTTAAATATTATTTAATATTTATTTTGTAAAATATAAAGTGAATTAGTATTATAATTAGATTATATATTCAATATATCTATCTACTTCTTTATTCATAAATTAGGATTTATCTTTTTGATTAATCAATTGCATTCCAAAATCGTTAATTGAAATTTTCACTTAATACATCATATTATTTAATTATAGGTTATTTCTATGGTATTTAATCATTTGAATGGGCAATCAATTATTATTATTAGATTATATAAGGTTGTTAATCATTCATTTCCAATGATTACATTTTAGATTGATAATAATTTTCAGATTATAAATTTGGAATTGGTTATGTTGATTTTCTTCCAGAAAACATATCAAATTATTCTGATTTCTTTTGATCCTGTTCTAAATCTTGATTTACTTCAGGTATACTTGCAATTCTAGAGACTTAATCAAATTGATTTTGATCTGTTTTGGAAGGGGATTTAATATGATATGTTTCAATGATTTAGGATTGTTTTAATGATTTTATTTATTAAGTAAGTAATGTTTTAGTCTTTTTTATTTATGATTCTCCATATATGGTTTTAGATATCTTCTTACTCATTTGATAATTTTAAAAATACTATAATGATTTTGTATCTCCGATTAAATCTTTAACAAAATTAGAATATTCAATAGAATAATACATATCCATGACTTTAATACTATCTTCAAAAGATAAACAACTAGCTTCAAGTAAGATCAAGCCTATTTCCTTGTTAATCTTGTGGCTGTATTATGATTCTTCAATATATAAATTTTTAAAGTTATTTGCATTTATTAAAAATAAAGTATGTAAACTTAATTTAATATACCCTTTTTTAGTTATAAATATATTATGTAGAGTTAATTATGTTTATTTGACCAATTCTGGAATTTAAAGATATATAGAATATCCTGCAATCAAATTTCTAGCTAGATACCATAATTCTGACTCAGTAAATTAAGTTCCTTACTATCTTTTTACTTAAATCTCATCATATAATGAATGAGATGGGAATTCAAATATATTATTAGATATATATATTAGAAATGGAGAGTTCAATTCATATTTATGTAGATTTTGTAATTTGATGTATCTCTTAATGAAAGCAATATAATCTTGATTTTTTAATTTAGGTATGACTCTCATATATTGTTCAATATCAGGAAAATCTTAAATTTGGCATTCAAGAATGTCTATTTGACCAAATATTTAATGTTAAACTTTTTGAATGAATTTGTAGTCATAATTATCACCAATATCATTTAAAGCATTTCCCATATAAAATTTATTTTATTTTATAATAAATATATTTGATGATAATATTAAAGGAGTATTCTTATATAAATAAATTTTTATTCTCCATATTTGATGATATCTGTATAATTGATGGATATTTATAATAGCTAAATTTTCTATCAATCATGATTAACATAATAGTTATTTTATTTTCTATTATTAATTTAGATTTATTATTTGATGGAATTATTTAAAATAAAAACATTTTCTATACAAATTTTAAGCTATTTTAAGAGACAAAGTGATGATAGATGAATGATTAGAATAAAGGATCAAAATATTAATAACTTTGATGATTAAGTAATTAAAAATAATTTGTTTATAATGCAATATATAAAATTATTAAATATTGTTATAAAATGATTCTAAATTTCATGTCTAAAGGCAAATAAATTGATACCAAAAGCATAAATAATATAAATAATGGGTTAATTTCTATCGTAACCAATCACTCAAAAAATGCATGACTCATAGTCCAATGCTATTCTATCATGCCATACTACTTCAATGCAAGGTTAGTATGTAATAATACAATATAGGTTGGAGACTTTAAATGGAAGATGCTCATATTATGAAGGTAGAATTTAGAGAAGATATATCTATATTTGCTATTTTTGATGGACATGGTGGTGCTGGGATTTCAAATTACTTGGCTGATAATTTTGTAGACACTCTAGTTTAGCAACCTTCATTCATAGGTGAAGATTACAATTAAGCTTTACATGATTGTTTTATACAATTAGATGAAATGATCAAAACTAATGTGGCTAAAAGTAATCATATTATTCCTACATTCATTTTAGATACATTTATTGGTTCAACAGCAGTAGTGGCACTCGTAGTCTAAAAGACTTTATATGTTGCCAATTTAGGAGACTCACGTTGTCTTTTGATGCGTGATGATGAAACTATTGAATTAACAAAAGATCATCTTCCTTGTAATGAATTGGCTAGAATCAGATTTGCAGGAGGATTTGTTAATGAAGAAGGTCGTCTCAATGGAACACTCTCAGTCTCACGTGCTTTTGGTGATTTCGAATTCAAATAAGAACCATTACCTGCCAATTAATAAATGGTGATTGCTGAACCTGAAATAAGAAAGATTAAATTGAATAAGGATGACAAGTAAGACTTACTAAATATATCTAGATTCTTATTTCTTGGTTGTGATGGATTATTCGAAACAATGAATAGTTATAAAGTTATGTAATTCATTGAAGAAAGATTAGAAAAAGGTTTGGAACCACCATTAGTACTTGAAAATTTGCTCGATTCTTCTTTGGCAATCGATACTACTACTGGCTATGGATGTGACAACATGACTGCAATGCTAATATTGTTGCACGTCTGAATGATATTCAATTTAAAATTAATACAACTATCAATAAAATAACTCATATGGAATATTATAATTAATTATTTATTTCAATCTTCTATGCTACTATTTTTTATTTTATATCAATTTTACTCAGGGACCATCTAATTTAAGTATAATCCAATCATAATAATACTAAAAATTATTAACTTTGATATTCTGAATAAAAATATTGTTTAATATTTTGAATTATTTTTGTTTATATAATATAATAACTTTTAAGATTTTCAATTCATGATTATTATTATCTGGTAATTGAAATAATCATCTTTAAATTTGAATATTAATTAGTAATAAATATCAGCTTTATGTGGTTTTTTTAATATTACACTATCTACTTTGTTACTGATTTATCTGTCTATTTCTATATTAATTTCTTAGAAATATATCCTGCTTTTGTCTCCTTTTTAATCAATTACAACATTTTTTGTAAGTAAATTCAAATATTTTCATCTTAACTATTTAATTTCATATATAGATAATGCAAATTTAATATCACATACATAATTCTTAAGGTAAACTATTTTGTATTAATTATATATATCTAATAATAGTATTATGAAAATGGATATTGTACAACTTCAAACCTAATTGTTATTTCTTTACTATGGTCTAAATAATCATTCTCATTTGAATTTAATTATGGATTTATGTACATTAATATTTTAATCCTATCTAATAAATAATTGGTTAATAAATTCATTAAATACTAAAAGTAAAATTATTATTTAATATGTTCATGAATCCCTAATTAAACTTGATTTAGGTTTGATTTATCTATCTATAATTTAGTGTTTTCAATTGCTATTTTAATCATTTCTTAACTTAAAAATATTATTGCTCCATAATATCTAAGATAATTTATAATTGAATCAATATATAGAGTCAATCATTTGTTTTTAATAGAATAGAAGATTATCTGGTGATATTTATGATAAATTAAAATTTTTTTATTTTAACTTAAAATTTATTTCTTTGTAATTCCGATTAGTTAGCAATTTGAATAGCTTAGATATTCAATTTGATCTCATGAATTGATTAAAAATTCTATTGTTATGTAGAAATTTAATAGAAAACTAATTTAAAACTAATATAAATTTTCTTTTGAACTTTTAATCATTTTTTAAATTTAAGATGATTAGATTTGATCTCAATTATCATAATTATAGTTTGATAGATCTCTTAATATTAGTAGTTAGATCAAATAAATTATTCTTTTCAATTTATTATGTTTAATTTTATTTATTTTACTTCATTATATCAAGATGAACATTGTCCCCTTTTCTTGAATTAGGATTAAAATTGTATATTTAATATTTTAATTGATGGATTTATGTCTTAGATGAAAGACTTTGTTAAGAGAATTTAGAGAAATATTTTCTAATTTAATTTAGTATCATTTTTAATAAATATGCTCAAACCATCTAGGTTTTACACTAGCCTTTAAATTATAGGGACTCTATTTTTAAGGACTAAAGGGAGCCTGTAGATCTACTTATGAACATGATACTGCCTTATGTCTCTTTATTTAATTTGGAGTGTCTCTGGGTCTGAGATTTGTGTATGTCTTGAAATGAAACCAATTAGATACGAGGATACTTTTGGTTCTAGGTTTGGTTTAATTGGAATAAAAGTTCTATTAAGATTAGGATTATTAAGTATCCATTTCAGAATAACGTATGTTTGGTAAGTTATTTGGTGGTGAAATTGTATTCTGATCATTTTTGCTTCTATTGCTATTTTTTTATTTTATCTTGGAATCTTTGTATTTTAAACTTGAATGAATGAATTTAATTTATTATTCTGTGAGATAATCAATTTCTGTAGGTACTAGGTTTCCTCTTTAATAAGCTTCGAGTGTTTTTACTAATCCCTCACTAAACCAGATGGGATAATTATTAAGTACTTAAATTGTAATTGGTTATATGTTCACAGTTGTTAAACCCTTACATTTAAGTATGTAATTGAGATTCTAGAATACTTACTTTTCAACTGTGAAATCAGCCAGATCTTCTAAAAGATTCTCATTTAGTAATTGAGAACATATTCTCTAAATAGATCTATTGTAATGTTGACTAGGATCACGTGAAGGAGGTCCTAAAAATAAAGTTTGATCGGTATCTTTTATTTAGGGGATTTACGAGGTTTCAGTTTGATTGAAATAGTTTATCATCTCTAATATTTGTGGATGTAGTGGAATGAAATCAAAATCAGCTTCAATTTTTGTTTTTAGACTGTTGAATTTATCGAGAAGCATATTATATGCAGCTGCTTACTTTGAAGGTATTTACCAATACACATCATAATAGGCTTAAGTTTCTATTGCTGCACACTGGAGAGATTTAATTTATTAATCAGACATTTTAATAATGTCTAACAAAAAACCATTGAGTAGTGAGAAGAAAGATAATATTATAGCTTAATTGAAAGGGGAATTATATCAATATCATTAGAGACAAATAGATTTTGGAAGTTTACATAATTAGCTATCTAGACTTGAGAATGCATATTCTTAGGTTTAGGAAGAGCTATAAAAAATATAGAAGGTTGGAAGAGCTTAAACTGAGGTTGATTTGAATGAAATAAAACAACTAAGAAGTGAATTGGAATATTTATAGGAATAATTACATTAACGACTACCTAACAATAATCCTTAATTGTTGGAACTAGCTTAAATAAGATAAAATGAGTTAGCTATATTAAAGAAAGAAACTAATGAAATTATGCTATAAAAAGATTAACTATAATAAGAGAGATAGGAGTTGGAGAGTACAATGAAGGATATGATAGAAACAAAAAATTCATTAGAAAAGGAAAATTAACTTTTAGAAAAAGAATTTGATAAGCATTTTAAGTAAAATAAAGAACTTGAATAAACAAGATAAGATTTAGAATTTGAGATTTCAAAAAAAGAGAAAGTAATTTTACAATAAAAAAAAATGGTTGATATGTTGAATAAAGAATAAAGATAAAAAGGAGATTATTTATAATAAATATAAATGAAATAAGAAATATAATAATAATAATCAGGTTAATTAGATGATTAATATTAATAATTAAATGAGAATTTAGAAATTGTGAGTAAGGAATAGAAATTAATAAATAACTAATTAAATTAAGTATAATAAGAAGCAAAAGAAACTAATTTAGAGAATATTAATTTAGATAAAAATATAAAAGAATTAGAAGGAGATATTGATGCAATTTTAAATCATGTAGATGAAGAGAATTTAAAAAAGATGAATTTAGTTGAGGATCAGAAATTCTTAAATGTAGAACTTAATAGAGCATTAGATTTGATTAATTAATTAACAAGCATAAAATAAGATGTATTTATTTTTCATTATATAAATAGCTTTGTGAGGAAATTCGTACTTTTATCTCTGAAGATGAATAAATTTCAAATATTGTAAATAGAAAGAATAAGCAAATAAAACTAATATAACATGCAGAATAATAAATAGAAGATTCTTAATCTAATAATTTGAATAATATCATTTGAATTATTTTTGTGATTCAATTTTCTTCTATCTTAAAGTAGTAAAAGCTCTTCTTCTATAAATTATTTCATCATTATTAATATTAATATATTTAGCAAGACCTTAAACTTTTTAAATTGGTTCTTCTAAATTCAATATTTTTTAGTGGAATAACTTTTGGTATTATGTCTCCCCTCTTTATAATAAAAGAATGGCTATTATATTATTATTACCATTCAAATACTTCCTTTATTGCCATAATTACTATAATCATTAATATGTTCATGAGATCTTAATATTATATTTATATTGTTTTCGAAAAGAATTTTATTAATTCTATTATTTCCAAATCTAATTATAGATTTATTTTAAAAAAGATCACTTTCAACATTTTATTAGTTTTCTAATTCTTCATCATTTAAACATGGATCAGACCATAATTTGTATTAATTCAATTTCATCAATTGTACATATTGTTTATCCAATACTACGTTGAACACAAAATATCTTCTCCTCAATCACTGCAGCAAATATAATATATTAAAAAACTCTTTTGATTCTTTGATAAATACTATTAGGATCATTTATATAAATTGTATATTTTAAATAACTATATCATTTCTCGTTGTATTTAATTATTTTAATAATTATGGAGTTTATGCAAATTGTTTATTGAGATCTAATTTCAATATACTTTCATTAGGAATATTAGGTTGATCTGAATTAAATCCACCATGTAAATAAAAAATTTAATCAATTAACCATGATGAATGTCTGAATCTCTGGATTGATTAGAATTTATACCAATCAGATGTTTCAATATCATAAATTCAAATGGAAGAATATCTACCTCCTATTAAAAACATCAAGGTTCCCAAAAATAAAGTTGCATGTTAATATCTTTGTACTGGTATTTCATTTTAGTTTTTAGAAGGACCTCTGGCCCAATCCCATCTTCCATCTCTATGTCTTCTCAAACCCCAAGTATCATTCAAAGCCCTCTAATCACTTGTTCTACTTCCAAATGTTACCATCATTCCATTTGCTGAACCTGTATTACACAGAGCAGATGAAAGATAAACTTTAACACAAGGTAATTCTGATGTGCATTCTAATATAGACCATCCATGAATATGGTGATTTCTCAAAATTTAAACACCAAACATTATTAACAGGTCTTAACCTATATTTCCTCCAAAATAATTAAATATGGTTTTATGAGTACCATAGTGTGACCATACCTTCTACCAGGAGTAGTTCCAATATCAGTTACTTTAATCCATGCACCAGTATCATTACGTAATTCAAGTAAAAATAGATTATCATCTGCTAAACCACCTTCTCCAAATATAATTATTTAATTCAATTCAATAGCCAATTCTTAATGTGCTACTCTATTAGTTGGTACACATCCACTTACTTCAATTCTCTTCCATTTTCTTTAAATACTCTAAAAGGTGGTTAAGGATTGTCACCTCTAAATGTTATTGCTTAAATTATATAGATATATATTAATTAAAACTTAGAAAAAATAAATAAGAATAAATGAAAAATCAATCACAAGTACAAAAAGAGAATAAACTATGTGTTTTCTTCAACTAAATTTCTTAAGAATATGAAAACTTTTTTAATGAATTACATTAATAAATATTTTATCCAGGAATGTGTTCTTTCAAATAACATTTTTTCAATAATGTATTCTCATACTCACTATATCCTGTTCCTTTTTACCTTAAAAAATGACGAATCTAAGCTCCCAATTCATCCTCTCCTCTCTCTATATAAAATTATAAATCATTATGTCCAGCATCCTTTACTATTATCAATTGAATTTTCTCTCTATTATTATTTTGCAAATATGTATTGTACAATTTCTCACTGTGCTCTTGACCAACAATCTTATCTTAATCCCCATGAATTATCAATATGTTGCATTTAACATTTTAAATCTTCTTATAATTAACATACATGTCTTATTCTCCATAATCTCCTTCTCCAAACCAACTATATATAGATGCAATGGGAGCTTATAATATCAAACCTGCTAATCCATAAAAACGTGTAGCTATTTCAGAAGCAGGACCTGAACCTAATGAAAAACCCCATAATATAATCTAATTCAAAGAGTAATTTAATCTATTAGTTGCAAATGATACTACAGTTTACAAATCATCATATGTTTATTATTCACTAACTTTATATTATCCAAACCCTATTCCATAACCTGTATAATCATATGCAATAAAATCAACCCCATATTCTATACTTATCCTTTCACCAAAAAAATATACATCTCCCAAATCACTTGCATTTGCATGAGAAAATATAACTAACATCCTGTTCCTCTGAGTTAATTTCTCTGTATCACATTAAAATGACTTAGAATTAAATAAACATTCTTTCGATAATGATGCTTCAGTTTTTGCATTTTAAAATCTATATTTACATTAAAATATACCCTGAAAAATGAATTAGAGGAACGTATAGTTTATCATTTTTTAGTATGTATGAGTCTATTTGTAATTAATAACTGAAAATTTGTTTCTTCTGTCCTTTTATTATTGGAAAAAAATGATATTTTCTATCTCTAAACTCAAAAGTGTATTTTGCTGGATCAGGTGGTCTGAATGAATATTTCTTTACAAAACTATTCGGAATTAAATTACTCAAACTTTTCTTCATTTTTTATTATATAAATAATAATATACAATTTTATAATTATTTTAGCTCCATATTTTCTAATTCTTATTAATATCAATATATCTAAATATAATATTTTGATATCCAATCATTCAAAAAATAAAATATTTATATTCTCAAAATATTATAAAAATAAACTATATGCTTTCTATTAATACCAAAACAAATTGCAAACGATAATAAAATTCTCTCTATAGAAACCCTTCCAAATCAATGTCTCAATCTTCTTTTGATCTATAAGATATTCTTTTAGATAGAAGAATACAAATTGCAGAAAACTTATCAAAATTAAGAGATTATTAAGAAGAAAGAGAAAAAGAGTATCGCTAAAGAGAAAAAGAATATTAAAAAGCCAAAAAGAAAGTTCATTTATATTAAGTTATAAATTAAAGGTTTCGAGCATAATCATTTATTGAAGAACAACATCAATAAGCAAAATTACTTGAAAGATCAATAAAATATGTTCCAATGACTAATAAATCAGTTAACGAATCAAAATTATTAACTTTGAAAATGAATTTAGAACCTCTTAGAACCAAAGCAAAATAAATTAAACCATATATTGATCATGATGTAATGGTAACTTAAAAATGGAAAGAATTTTGAATCATTTATATAATCTATATGATTAATCATTTTTTATAATATTTAACTATTAAATGAAATAATAACATTTTATTGCAATTAAGATAATAAATTTAAAGAGTATTAAGAATTATATAAAAATAGGTAAATTATATTACATCCAGATTAATTGATAAGACCATTATCAAATAAATATTAGAGAATTATAAGCATATATTCATTTGGATAATATTCAATTTTTTATTAAAAATCATTATTATGTTTTAGGAATAATTGATCTATAAGTATTAAAGAAATTATTTTTAATATTTAAGATTAAAGTATTAATTACATTGTATTTATTTTAGAAAGTAAAGATGTTATAACAACTTTAAAAATTCATGCATTTGGAGATTATTATCATATTTTGAAATCAATAAGTATTTAATTAAGCCGTATATAAAATAAAATTTAATTAAATTATTATATCATGATAATAGAATTACATGCAATTTATATCAAAATCAGATTTTTTCTATTATATTTATAAATATGTAAAACCAATTCAACGAACAAGAACTGCTATATATCATTAAAAACTATTCAAAAATATTGAATTTATTTGAAAATCATAATTAAAAATAAACTTAAGTAATTATTTTAATAGGAGCAACTGGCGCTGGTAAAAGTACTTTATTTAATTTCTTGAGTGGAGCAGAATTTGAAACATTAGCTCTCATAAATCTATATAAAAAAGCAAAATCCATCATTTTGAATTATTTATTCATTATTACAATTTTTTCTGATTAAAACTCATTTTTTGGTATAAATCATCTAAGTGGGTTGTGTTTGTAATTAATTTCTGCTTTAGGTTAATTAACAGAAAAATTGATTAACATAGTTTTTTATATTAAATTTTTATCATTATTTTGATTATAACATAATTAAAACAATAAAATATGTGATTATTTCATATGAAAAATACATATAGATAAACAATACTTATTTTTCATAACTCTATTTTTATTTTTCAAATTTGGGATATTTTTGATAGATTTTTAGAGTAGTTTTAAAAATTGATAAATAAAATAACAATTATCAATTTAATAATCTTTAGAAGGTGATATTGAAATATGAAATATAGTTTAATTTCTAAGAATAAATATTAATTTTAAAAAACTAAAATAATAAATATATGAATAATGAATTTGATGCATCATTAATGTCAAGATTATTTTATTTTACAATGCATTTGATTTGTTGGACAATTTTAATAGTTTACAAATAAAATGCTTTTATGTAAAATCCTTTTGGTCCATTATAGATTTCATTTGTAATATTAGTACTTTATTCAAATTATTTATTTGTTACAGTTGGAAATAATCCTGGATATATAATAAGTACAAATGAAGAGGATGTTGAATTATAAATAGTTGAATAAGAATAGAATAAACGATATTGTAAAATATGCAAATTTAATATACCCAATAGAGCAAAGCATTGTAAAGTTTGTAAAAGATGTGTAGCAAAATATGATCATCATTGTTTTTGGGTAGGTGGATGTGTAGGTGAATTGAATTAAAGATCATTTTGGTTATTTTTATTAGTATAGAGTATTGTATTGATATTATTGTTATGGTATTGTTAAGATGGTTTATCTAATTATGATTATTATGAGAAAGATAAAAAAAGATATGGATAAGAATATGGAGCTTTTATTGTAATATTTGTAATAATGTTTTTATTTTTGATGTTTGCAGGAGGAATGCTTATATTTCACACATATTTGATTATTGCAGGAATAACAACTTATGAATTATTAAAAAAACATTAATATAAAAAGTCATCAACAAATTCATTAGGTTCAATATTATAAAATATAAAATCAACATTTTGTCATGGTGGTAAATTGCTATCAATTTAAGAAATAGTTTGATTAACTTAAAATTTATATTATGAATTTCTTATAAACTATTTAAAAAATTAATTTATGAATTTCTAGAATTTAAAAGGAGATCTAGAAGTATTTTACAATAATCATGGAGTCTAATTAGCAGGAATCAATTTTCCACCTAAAGTTGAATTATTAGAATAATTAAAAACTAAATTAGAAAATAAAATATATGATGCAGGAGAATATTTTAAAATAATTGATGATTAAGAATAAGAATCATATGTATTATAATGTACAAAATCAATGAAAGCATTTGAATAAGTGTTTTTGATTGATCATGCTTTGAGTTTTAGATACACTGAATTACATACAGCAATTAAATAAGTTGATAGATTAAAGAATATACTTAAATATTGCAATAAAAAATAGCCATTATTTAAAATAGATAAGGTGTATTATCATACTGAAGACTTTGATGAAATGGCATTAGAAATATTGAAAGATGTTAAACCAAAAGTAGATACATTAGCAATTAGTTTCTTTGGAAATAATATTAATTCAATAGATGAAGTTGTCAACTTTCTTAATAATAATAAATAAATTAAAGCAATATGGTTAAATGGCAATCCAGTAGCAGATAATAAAGATGAATTACTATTATCTATAGAAGAACAATGTCCATAAGTAGAATTAGTTGATTTAACATTTACAAAAAATGCAACTGAATGGGTTATAAGATATGTTACAGCTGATTTTGATACTAAAAAGGCAAATAGTTAAGAACCACTTAATTATTTAAATCTATCAGGTAGAAATGTATTGAGATTAAAATCTGTTAAGTAGATTGCTAATTGGTTTCCTAATTTACGAGTTTTAGATATTCAAAATACTAAATTAAATGATTTAGAAGATGTTAATGCTTTTTTCAGTTTGCTATCTAATGTAGTATATTTGACATGTGATTTAGAAGTTGAAGATGTATTGTATGAATTACACAAAACTAATAAATTAAATGCAATTGCTCCATATTTAAGATTAGTAAATTAAAGAGATATTCGTTATGAATCATATACACCAGCTAAAGAAGAACATAATGATATTTAATTCATTAAACAGAATCTATTTAAATTAACAGGCAATTACAGATTATTAACAAGTGATTAAATGGATGAATCTGCTGTATGGTATTTAATGGATGAATTGGGATCTAGTATTTAACATTCAGATACACCTAATGTAAGTGTAGTACCATTTTTATATTTACCAAATGGAAAAATAGATGATGATGCTGTTGCATATAGTATTCTATTCCCAATTAAAGATATTCATGAATAACCTATTTTTAGAGATTATTTACCAGGAGTTGATGAAGCCAAATTTCGTTCATATAGATTGAATGTTTGGTTTGATATTCCTTATGATTTTATTTTAAATGGATATTATGAATACAAAAAGAAATTACAAAATTAAAAAATTGTTGAACCTGAATTAATTGCTAAACCTATTGAATACTTACCTTTAGAAAATATAAAAGTCATTACAGATTTAGAAATGGTTACTAAACATCTTACATTACCTTATATATCTTTCACCTTAGATTTAGATGAAGCTAATTTAGTATTCTTTAGTGCAGGAGTTCATGATGATCTTAATTAAAAATATGCAGATAAATTTATTAATCAATATCCTCATGAATATGCTATCATTTCTAAAGAAAAATTAGCCAATACTATATAATGTACTTATGGTGAAGTACCATGGTTATAAGAAACATTTAATTTATAAACCTAATTACCATTATTCATGGGAGCATATAAAACAAGAGAACTTTAACATCTTAACAATCTATGGATTATCAAACCTCCAAATATGGCTAGATCAATGGATATGGTTGTTACAAATAATTTAAATGTTGTATTAAGGTTAATTGAAACAGGACCTAAATTAGCTTAAAAATATATTGAAAGACCTCTAACATTGAGAAATAGGAAATTTGATTTAAGATTTATTGTTGCTTTAAAATCTATTGAACCTTTGAGTGTTTATTTATATAAAACATTTTGGATCAGAATATCTAATAATCCATATACTGAAGATGTTAAGTAATTCATTTATAATATATTATAAGTACATTATCAATCTATGAAACACATTTTACTGTTATGAATTATGGTCATAAATTAACATAAATTTTTATGCATGAATTTATAGAGGAATTCAATAAAGAATATTATCCACATACATGGGAAAAATAATATGAATCAATTTAACATATGGTTAGATAATTATTTATAGCCTTAAGAACTCATCAACCAGATATGGCCAATTATACTAAAGTATAAAAATAATTGATTATTAAATTAGAATAGAAGTGTTTATGGAATGGATTTAATGATTGATTCAAATGGATTTTAACCAAAATTATTAGAAATGACATTTTCTCCTGATTGTAATAGAGCATGTAAATACACTCCTACATTTTATAATGATTTATTTGAATGCTTATTCTTTGGAATAGAAAATTAGAATATGATTTAAATATTTAATTGATTTATGATATAGTTATTATTAAAATTAATTTTCATTAATATATGATATGGAATTTCATTTAATAATAATTAAATCATTATAGAATAATTAGAGTAGTTATGATGATGATGGTGGAATATAATAATATTATTAATATGATGGTTAAAAGGGATATTAATAAATTTGATTTGTAATTAATTTATTATTTATAATCTTCAACAAAAAAATGGATTAACCTTATGCATCTTAATTCAATTTTGTCTGCTTTTGTTCATAAACTGTTCTCTTAAATCAACAGAGTATGGCAGACCACATCAAAAAGTGTTTAATATATAGACAATCATCTCCTTTTTTCCAAAAGTTTGAACTACTCAAGATTGAGAAAATGCAAAGATAACATTTAATTGCTTTAAAAAGTGAATTTTATGTTTTCATCGAAAAAGTAGATGCTCTACTAAAGGCAGGGGAGGATAGATTAAATTCTTCAGTTTAATAAGCGCCATCTTTATATGGAAGTGGATCTACATTTTAACAATAATTAGGGAACAACAATCAAATTTATTAATAATAATAATCTGCTTATGCATCAAAATCAATTGAAACTGATATTTTCAAATCTATTAGATAACTCTAAAAATTAGAAGAGTGTAATGTTTGTAGAAAATAAGTTGATGCAGATATAATTACATATTTTGATCATTGCATTACTCCAATTTGTAGACCTTGTTTAATGAAATAGATTGAAAAAGATGCTAAAACTAATATAGCATTTTTTTGTCCAAATCAATAATGTAGAAAAGAAATGACATAATAAGAATTAATAGTAATTATTATTATTATTTAAGTAATTGCTTGGGAAAGAAAAACAAGATTAATATGCAACTATAATGTTAGCAAGACAATTCAACTTAATAAAATGTTCAGCATGTTCTGAATAAGGTGCTTTTGAGAAGGGAAGTTCTATTACTGTACTTAAAGATCCTATCACAAATTAGTAATTACAATAGTATTTAAATTATTTACAATATTAGAAAATATGTGGAACATTATCTTAATAATAGATTTATGTGTTTTAATTAAAAATGCAGAACTGAATAATGTAAAGAATGTAAAGCAATTCCATATCATTTGGGTATGACTTGTGAAGAATACAAAATAAAAAAATCATCTAAGTAATATCAATTTGTAATTGTTATTTAGATGTTGTAGATATTGTGATTAACTTATTCATAAGATTTAATTAAATATTCCAGAAGCATTATAAGATATTTGTTAAGAAAATGAATGTCAAGAGAAAGCATAATATGCTTGTAATAAAATTTTAGCATGTAAACATCCATGTCCAGGATTCAAAAATGAATAGATATGTTCAACATGTTTAAATGATTAATGTTGTAAAGGTGATTAAAAAGGAGATGATTATTGTAATATTTGTTTTGTTGAAGGTTTAAAAAATGCCCCTATAATCCAATCAAAATGTGGTCATGTATTTTATATTTCTAATTATAGATATTTCATTATACTTGTATTCTTAAAAGATTAGATGTGAAATGGAATGGACCAAGAATAGTTTTCAAATTTTGTTTATGTCCTTTATGTAATTCTTGGTTAGAATTCTAACCATCATAACCATAAAATCTTGTTAATTAATATTATATACTCTTTTAAGATGTGATGAAAAAATCATTAGATAGGTTGAAATATGAAAATAGAGATAAAGATGATAAAGTTAGTAAAGTAGGTGAACCATTTTATGGTAAACCTTAAGAGTATGCTATGGCTATTTATTGTTATTATTAATGTTTTAAATGCAAAAACCCTTATTTTGGAGGAGCCAAAGATTGTTAAAGAGCATTAGAAGAAGGAGATAAATAATATAAACCTGAAGAATTAATTTGTGCTAATTGTTGTGAAGTACCAGTTGGAGAAACATGTTAAATTCATGGAAAAGAATATATAGAATTCAAATGCAAATTTTGTTGTTAAATTGCTGTATGGTTTTGCTGGTATACATTTACATTTATCATATTCTCAAAGGGGTACAACTCACTTTTGTGAAGATTGCCATAAAAGATAATGTAGCGGAGATTATGTATCTAAAATACCTAAAGAAAAACTACCTAAATGTCCAGGTAAGGATAAATGTCCTATAAAAATGGATCATAAACCAAATGGAGAAGAATAAGCCTTAGGATGTGGTATATATTTATTATTTATATCTTAGCTATTTGTAGGAATCAAAAAGCCAGTTAACAAAATTTCTGAATATATAATTATACCTATCTAATAATTGTATTTTATGTTATATATTCTTTCATTCTTAAGGTAACCATAAATTAATAATCTCAAAAACTAATGTTTTCTTCAACAATCAAAATATCCTCTGTTAGTGATTACATTGTACCAAGTTAAGACTGTATAAAGCCATTAATGAAAAATGTTAAGCTTTAACTTGATGACCCTTCCATTTAACTAAAACCTAATTTGATTTAAAATTAGAATAATGTTGCTAA